TCTACATAATGATATTTTAAGTTAATTGAAAATATTTGTTCAGTTTATTAGTTTTCTCAGTTCACTGCATATATATTTATAGCTAATATGCTTTGAACTACAATAAAGTCTTTTTTTAAAAGATTTGACAGGGTCTTGAATTACTGTCATATTTGAGGGTAAAATTTTTAAAATACATATTATGTCTCTAAGTGCTAAAAAAACCCTCCAATGCTTTAAAGTTTTCAAGTAGACCATAGAATCATAAGATAGTTTGTGTTGGATGGACATTTAAAAGTCATCTAGTCCAATCCCTCTGCAAATGGTCAGGGACACCTTGAGCTAGGTCAGGTTGCTCAGAGGCCCATTCAACCTGACTTTGAGTGTTTCCAAGGATGGGGCATCTACCACCTCTCTGGGCATCCTGTACCAGTGTTTCACCACCCTCATCATAAAAAATATCTTCTTTACATCTTGTCTGAATTAATCCTTTTTTAGTTTAAAACTATTACTCTCTGTCCTATCACTACAGGTCCTACTAAACAGTTTGTCCCCATCTTTCTTATAAACCCCCTTTAAGTACTGAATGGTGGCAGTAAGGTGTCTCCAGAGCATTCTCTTCTCCAGATTGAACAACCCCAGCTCTCTCAGCTGGTCCTCACAGGGGAGGTGTTCCATCCTTCTGATCATTTTTATGGCCCTCCTCTGGACCTGCTCCAACAGGTCCATGTCTTTCCTGTACTGAGGACTCCAGAGCTGGATGTAGGTACATCAGAGCAGTGTAGAGGGGGTAGCAACGCCTCCCTTGATGTGTTGGCCATGCTTTGTTTGACATAGCCTGGGATATGGTTGGCTTTCTGGTCTGCAGGCACATATTGCTGGCTCATTTCCAGCTTTTCATCCACCAATACCCCCAAAGTCCTTCTCCACAGGGTTGTTCTCAATCCCTTCAACCCACAGCCTCTATTGAGGGGTCACCCCAACCTGTGTGCAGGACCTTTCATTTGGCCTTGTTGAACCTCATAAGGTTCACATGGACCCACTTCTTTAGCTGTCACTTTGAATGGCAGGTCCCTCTGAATGGCATCCCATGCCTTGGGTATATCAACTATATTGCTTATCTTGGTGTCATCTGAAAATTTGCTGAGGGTGCACTCAATCTCACTATGTCATTGATGAATAAGTGAAAAGTCATGGCAGTTAGGTGAAGTCTCTGGTGACTGGAAAAAATTAAACATTGCATGCATTTTTGAAAAGGGTAGAAAGAAGGGCCCTGGGAATGACCTTTCAGATCACCTCTGTGCCTGAGATCATGGAACACATCATTCTAGAAGTTATGCTAAGGCATTATGAAGAACAGGGGGGTGATTCAAAACCGCCACCATGGCTTCATCGAGGGCAAGTCTTGCCTGACATACTTATAGAAACCTTTATTATTCCTTGTGTCCCTTGCCAAGTTCAGATCCAGACTTGCCTTGACCTTCCTGACTCCATCCCTACACAACCAAGCGATGTCCCTATACTGTTCCCAGGATACCTCTCCCTGCTTCCACTGACTCTGCATTTCCTTCTTGCCCTACAGTTTGACCAGTAGGTCTTGACTCATTCACGCCCATCTCTTGCTTTCCTCTACTGATTTCTTAAACCTGGGGATTGAGAGTTCTTGCACTCTATGGAAAGTGTTCTTAAAGATGTGCCAGCTCTGTTCTTCTCCCTTGTCCCTCAGGCTAGTTTCCCAAGTGGTCCTACTGACTAACTCCTTGAATAGCTGGAAGTTTGCTTTCTTAAAATTCAAAATACTGAGTTTACTCTTTGCCTGTCCCATATTCCCCAGGACTAACAACTCCACCAGTGTTAAAGACAGGAAGTGAAATAAATCTTTGGATAAATGCTAATACAGATGAAATGGAAATGTGCTTACAAAACCAGCAAAAGGTTGAAAAAGATGGCTTTATATTTTTGAGATTTTGACTGGTGAAAGAAGGGATGTAGTAGCTTACAACGTGTGTGAATGACAGTGGAGGCATTCTGGTTCCAACCAGGTGAACTACAAAAATTTCAGTGACTCAAGTTTTAAATCTTAGAGTCATGAAAGCAATTTTTGACCAGAATCTTCAACAAATTGTAGGTATTTTATTTTTCAGTTAATTGGGAGCCCAAACAAAGATCTTTCATCATGTTTAACTGTAGTATTTAATACATATATTTGACATTTATGTTGTTCTGAGTTTTAGAACCCCATATAGACAAATTTTAGTCCAGATATAACTAAATAAGACTATAGAGAAATTAGATATTTGCTTGTGAACACCTACAGCATCTATAGTTTAACCCTTCATAACAAAACTTTGGTTTTAGTAATAACTCAGAGTTGCTGAACTGATGCTTTTTTGTACACACAGGTGCATCAGTTCAGCTAACAGTGTGAGACAAACCTGAAATGAGACCGCAAAATGTGAAAAGACATGCTTTTCAGGTTTCACTGTAGTGCAGTAAGAACAGCTTTCAACTAAATCAAAGCAATAAAGCTTGAAACTAGAAGCAGAAGTGAAACAGTGCCACACCAATTTAAAGAAATAAGTGTATAGATGCAGATAGACAGACCTTAACATTCAAAACTTTGTTTGTGCTATAGTAATTAAAAATATTTAAATGTGAGAGTAAGCGACTGACTTTTCAGCTATGCAAAATACCTCCATTTGTCTGGGAAAAAAATGATGCCAGTTCTCATGCTGTTGAGATCATCTGGCTTTTCAGCAATGAATTCAGTGAAAAGAGCAGCCTGATGTCTGTTATGTGTAGTCTTGCAATCATGGAAATGTGTGTGAAGAAATGGCAACAAAAGAAAAAGTCTTGGTGATTGTAATATCACCGTGGCATTCAAATTAGTGTTTTCTAGTGTCTTCTACCAGTACGTCTTTATAAGAGGAAATACCTAGGTTTAAGAAATAAAATTATAAACTTGTTGTTAAAGAGTAAAATCGGAAATTTCCTCTAAGAAAATGTTGTCACGAGACTTCAATTCCTTCTTTCCATGGTATCAGAGATACAATGCTAAAGCCACCTGGTAATAAAATAACCCTTCAACTCCAAATGAGATAGAAGGCATAATACATTTTCAAAGAGATTTAGCATTGATTTTATCAAAGAATCTTTGAATTTTACTTGAAATTAGGTCATGATTTCTTCATTCTGCAATCAGCTACTATAAGCACTAGTTATGAGTCAGTCAGATACACAGTGTAAGCAGGCATAACTTCATCTGACTGAATTATTTGAACATAAGACTCTAAGAAGACAAAGCTCTACAAAACCTCACTCAGTCATATGGTAAAGTACATATAGAAGGATGTTAACCCGTCATCTCTTCATGCCCTACAATGGCAATGTTGACTCTTGTTAAAATCTCATATTTCTTTGCCAACATTTCTCCAAATGTTTTGTGGTTAATAACTTTGAATGAATCAGAAAAGAGTTTTATTCTTGCTTGGTATCAACATACAGTAAGGTCAGGTCAAATTGTTGCCCTACTGAAAAACAACTCTATGGACTGTGTAGGGTACACCCCTTGCTTCCCGCTCTTAGTTTTCTAGTGTTTTCAGTAATGGCAATAGCCAACATTTTCAAGATTGGCATCTTGAGTTACATAAGGACTTGAACAATGTACAAGTGTCAGACTGTATAATTTTTTGTCCCATTCGTACCCCCAGCAGCGCTACAGGCTTGGGGAGGAGTGGCTGGAGAGCTGCCAGTCAGAGAGGGACCTGGGCGTGCTGATTGACAGCCGGCTGAACAGGAGCCAGCAGTGTGCCCAGGGGACCAAGAAGGCCAATGGCATCCTGGCTTGTGTCAGTACTAGCGTGGCCAGCAGGGACAGGGAAGGGATCTGACCCCTGTACTTGGCACTGGTGAGGCCGCCCCTCGATTCCTGTGTTCAGTTTTGGGCCCCTCACTACAAAAAGGACATTGAATGACTCCAGCGTGTCCAGAGAAGGGCAACGGAGCTGGTGCAGGGTCTGGAGCACAGGTCGTACGGGGAGCGGCTGAGGGAACTGGGGGGGTTTAGTGTGGAGAAGAGGAGGCTGAGGGGAGACCTCATCACCCTCTACAGCTCCCTGAAAGGAGGGTGCAGAGAGCTGGGGATGAGCCTCTTTAGCCAAGTAATAAGTGGTAGGACAAGAGGGAATGGCCTCAACTTGTACCAGGGAATGTTTAGACTAGATATTAGGAAGCATTTCTTTCCAGAAGGGGTTGTTGGGCGTTGGAATGGGCTGCCCAGGGAGGTGGTGGAGTCCCCATCCCTGGAGGTGTTTAAGAGTCGGGTTGACATAGCACTGAGGGATCTGGTGGAATTGGGAACTGTCAGCGTTAGGTTAACCGTTGGACTGGATGATCTTCAAAGTTCTTTCCAACCTAGATGATTCTGTGATTCTGTAAAGCAAAAAATTTAAGAAATGTAATTTCTTACAGAAGAACAATAATGAATTTATTTAGCAGACCAGTATCACTCAACTATAGATCTCTTTTGCATAATGAGGGCTAATATGCAATGATATTAAAAAAAAATTATAATGTCAATGTAAAACTAAGAGAATTTATTTAACAATGAGAATGACTGCATTAAATAAGATGAAAGACTGGTTAAAAGACATAATCAAATATATTGATTAAAATAACCATTACAAAAGAATATTCAAAATAGATTTAGGATTTCATCTGTTACCTCTTCTCTAGCATTTTGTCACACAGGAGCTTGGTGCTCAAACACAGGGATTGATTCACAGCTCTTGATAAATTCATTGTCTTCTGTCCACACACCTCCCATCAAATTTCATTAAAGTATTCTATGAAAATTGATTGACTAGCTTAGATGTGGTTATGCCAGGGAAACAAACAAGCTCTTGCTTAATTCAAATGCTTCTAATCCCCCCCCCCCCCCGAAATTAATAAAAATTAAAAGTAAACTATCAGTACTTAAACAACAACGACAAATAACATGGCACACAGAATCACATCTTTATTTTTGGTTACTAATCTCCCGGTACTTTTATTTACTTTATCTTGATTTGGTCAATCTGGTAGCTATTTTCCAGGAAAATATTCATGACATCCTTTCACCAGTTCCTCTGGTTTTCCTCTGCTTAGTTCCTTTCTCTTATGGCCAAAAGTTACTTTTTGGTAAGATCATGGTGCTAAGGCAGTGAATTTAAAGTTACTTCACATTACCTGAAACAGACATGGGAAATATGCAGCACAGATTTATGACACTAAGCATATTAATATATTTTACATATTCAATATATTAAGCATATTTATATTAAATTAAACATATTTATTTATTTTTAGCATATTTATGTTAAAATTATGTTTATATTGTTTTCTTGTGTATTCTAGGAGTTTGGGATATCTAAAAATTTTTATATGTGATGGTTTGGCGTGGAATTTTGTATCCACTGTGCTTCACATACGGAGAATATAAAGTCAGAATTACACATTAAAATACCCTAACAACTGAAGAGAACCATCAAGCAACAATTGAAAATTCACTGTGAACATCAGCAAAAGAAGTGTGACATTGAGAAGAAGCTCTAGTGGTCTGTGCTGTAATCTTTGCGATTAGACTATAAACTATACTAGGACTAAGTTGTTCCTTTTGTCTTTGTTGAAAGTGTTCGGTAATTGTTAGTAGAAATGTAGCATAAAATATTGAAAATAATTGTTTGATATATCTTACTATTTTTACACAACTTAATCACTTAGTTTTATTTAAAGGGTAAACTTTATCACAGCACACATACTTTTTACTAATGGCGAGTTTGGAAATGCACATTCTTTTCAAGGCTACCAATGCTTTCATCAGGTTCTGAGATTAATTATATTTTTTAGGATTTAATCTAAAATTGCATTTTAGACCAGCTGAACTATCCTTTTAACCATCTCTGCTGACTGATGTATTATTAATATACCAGATGCAGTGCAAACTTCCCAATAGATGCTATGAAAATCAGACCATTTGTACAACAGGATAAAGACATTTTAGTTTTTTTTTTTTTTTTTTTTTTTTTTCCCAGAAAATGCAAGTGATTCACTAAATAATATCCCAATATTTGAGCCATGTTCTGGGAGCAACAACATTTATCTATGAACATAGAATCATAGAATCATTTAGGTTGGAAAAGACCGTTAAGATCATTGACTCCAACTGCGGAACTAGCACTGCCAAGTCCACCCCTAAACCGTGTCCCTAAACACACACCTACATGACTTTCAAATACCTCCAGGGATGATGATTCAACCAGCTCCCTGGGCAGCCTGACCATTCTTTCAGTGAAGAAATATTTCCTAATATCCAATCTAAACCTACTCTGGTGCAATATGCTCCAGCACCTCAGTGTCTTCGTTGTAATGAGGGACCAAAACCTGAACACAATATTCAAGGTGCGGCCTCACCAGTGCCAAGTCCAGGGGAATGATATCTTCCCAAGTCCTGCTGGCCACACTATTTCCGCTACAAGCCAGGATGCTATGGGCCTTCAATTTTCAACTGGCCTTCAATTAGATGCAACTGATACTCCATCAGAATTGTGTTAACACTGTTGTCACCAAATTAGCTTTCAACTCACTGTGTTTTAGATGAAGACTGACCTTTCAGAAGAATGCCCCAACAACTAGGTTACACCCATTCTTTCCTTTGCTGGATCAACGAAAATGTAAAAGAAGAAGCAGTATCAGCAGGAAAGATGGAAAATGACTCATCCTAGGGCAGCCCATAGCCCATGAGTCCTTTGGATTCACACAGGTGTCCTAGACGAGTATTGTTGTCCCTGAGAAAAAACATCAAAGGGAAAATATTTGCCTGTCATTCTGCTGGCAAGACTCGATATTTCACCTTTTGTTTCCATGAAGTGACAGAGACATCTAACCCCTAAAAGACTAGTTCCAAAACCTTAAGCATATCTGAATTATCTTTTTTTTTTTTTTAATTGAAAATTTAAGAAAAGATTAGGGCAACCAGAATTGTAGCTTGCAGCAGTAATATTATCTGTTGAATAATGCTTATTTTGATAAGTTAATCTACTATTAATTACAATAAATGACCACTCTATAACATTTATTGCAAAACCTCCATAACCTATATCTCACAGGTTAAAATTCTTGTTCATGTGAAAGTTAAGAAAAGTGAAGCTTATTAAGCCATCCAAAACTCTAGACATATTTTTTATATTTATATAAAACTGCAAACTTTTCTAAAAACTGCTAAATCCCGGCTTTCCAAGACTAACAGAATGAAGCATCCTTTGATTTTTGCAACTCTTTACATGTTTATTATGTAAGCTATTACATAAATAATGTTAAAGAAATATTATTATGTTGTGTGTGTATCAAACCATAAAAAATTACTATTCAAAGATAAAAAAAAAATTAAAAAATGCAAATAAGATTCAAAAGAACAATATAATTAAACAGTAGAAAATTATTATGGGAGGAGAAAAATATATAAAACTGGTCTTACTATAAAAGATTATTCTCTCATTTCCTTGTTTATTTCCATTCTTACAATGTGTGCTATAAGAATAGATTTACAGTCTTTAGGAAAAGTATCATCATATTTTTTCTCATTTTATGATTTAACCTAATTTTTAAGTGTAATTTTTGCACACAAGCCCATAGATTTTGGAAAATATCTAGTAAAATCGAGTGGCTTCCTGGTGCAGTATAATTTCAGCACTGAGTAAATGTATGGAAGTCTATATTCTTTCAACTCAAATATGCTTCCTAAGACAAACAAAATGTGGAGAGTCTATTTCATTATTCAAGAATCTTGCCCTAATGTGAAGTTCAGATGTCTCTGTCTAACCATGATCCCATGTTTGTAAAGTGTCAAGACATATTCTTTTTAAATATTACAGAAAAAGCGATGCAGGAATACTTAACTCCTAGCAGTACCTCCTAAACACCAATGGCGTATCATAACACCGGGTCACGGAGCACCATATGGGATGACATCATTCACTTTGTGGTAGCTGTGCTACTGTGAGGACATGAGAACATAATGAGAGTCTGAAAAAGAGGAATTAGAGGGAAGGTTCTATGGCCCAGTCATTGTGTTGCTGTTCTGTGAGGGGGCAGATACAGTTTCTTGATCATTGTCTTAATACTGCTTTTTTTTTTTTTTTTTCCCCATTATGCATTTCTAATATTTCTGCTATATATTTCTATTGTTAACTGGATGATAACAGGAAGAACATAGTAAGGAGACACCATAAGCTCCAGAGCAGGACGCTGTAGAGTACAGACATCATTGCCATAAAGCTTTATTCAAAGGAGAAAAATTTTATGAATTGATATCTTGGATTTAAGGTCCTACATTTTACCCTCATCTTAATTACTGAGCCAAGGCATTTTCTCTGGATATTATTTTTTATAATAATATAGCTCATCTCTGTGGAAGGCAAATAACATAATTTCCTTGTAGCTTTTAAATTCTTTGGAGTAAAATGAGTATGAAGGGGTCCAGATCTGAAGAGACCTTGAATGCTAACAATATAAACTTTATTGTTAAACTGCAGTGTGTTGATATAATTTTAAAATATAAAACATAACCTAAAAAAGAAAGCAAAGGAGTGTAAAGAGGAAGGGTGACAAAACTGTGAAAAACTTAGTTCATTTGCAATGAATTGAAAATTTCAGCTTCATTTTTTTTAAAGAGTTCATTTTTCCCTGTTAAAACAAACAAACAAACAAACCCCCAAAACCAAAGAACAAACCATTAGTTTTTGAAAGACTTGGAAAATGTGTAAAATAAAGGTTTTTTCAGTCATATGATTCTGTCAGGGACAGTTTGATCACTTTCATTTACAAGTCTCCCACTGTCTTAACCCAAAGTAGAAAATTACAGTCAAAGTTTGTTTTCATCAACTGTGATGTGTTTTTTCCCCCATACCATTAACTCCATAATGTTTACAGTACAAACAATATGCTACTTAACTACCCAGCTTTTCAGTGCCAAAAGAAAATGAATTATGTGTTTTTAAGAAAATCCCCAAAGTTCTCTTTAGTAATGAGGGAGTATAATCATGGATGCTGTAATTATGTAAAGAATCATTTATATTCAATATTGCCCAAGTACCATTAAGCTGTATTTGCAAATATATCTGCATGTTACTCATTCATAATCAGGATATGTATTGGGTCAGTTGAAGTGTGCTTTTGGAATGCAAATGACTTTTTTATTGGTAATGAAATGAAGGCCTCAGAAAGAGTAAGCTAAGACTTAACTAGCATGAGAGCCTTTTTACACATCCATGTGCTCTCAGATCTCCCAATGAGCTGTACATCAGTGACTCTGGTGCAGATGATCTGACAGTGTAAATGGGCATTGACTTACCCTAGCTGTGATTCTCCCCATATGCTTGATTTGCTTCTGTCTGTTGAGTGTTAACGCTTCTCACAGCCACAGACCTGTGGACATTACATCTTTCACTATCATCTTATTGTGAGATATGAGTTTCTTTTTGTCTTGTAGATGAAATTTTATATTTTACCTTCAATAACATTTGGGAAATCCGTTCGACAAGCTTGTATTACATACTATGTCCTTGGCTGTAGAGTCATAATAAAGGATTCAGCTGGAAATTAGAGTAGCTAAATTTAGATATCTACCTGTCAGTATCTGCACAGAAGTATCAGGTTTATGTGGAAAGGTTTTGGTGGCAGGGGGCTGCAGGGGTGGTTTCTGTGAGAAGACATCAGAATCTGCTTCCATGTCAGACAGCCAGTGTCAGCTGGCTCCAAAGACAGACTCCCCACAGGCCAAAGCTGAGCCCATCAGCATTGGTGGTAACACGTCTATGATAACATATTTAAGAAAAATTTAAAAATGCTGTGCTACAGCAGCTGGGAGATAGGAGTGAGAATATGTAAGAGCAACAGCTCTGCAAACATGAAAGTCAGTGAAGAAGGAAGGGGAGGAGGTGCTCCAGGGACGGGAGCAGAGACTCCCCTGCAGTCAGTGGTGATGACCATAGTGAAGCATGTTGTCCCCCTTCAGGTCATGGGCATTCATGGTGGAGCACAAATTCCCCTGCAGTCCATGGAGGACCCCATGCTGGAGCAGGTGGATGTGCTCTGAATAAAGCTGTGACCCCATGGGGATCCCATGCTGGAGCAGGCTTTTGGTAGGACCTGTGGTCCCTGGAGAGCAGCCCATGCAGGAGCAGGTTTTCTGGCAGGTCCTGTCACCCTGTGGGGGACCCACACTGGAGGAGTTCATTCCTGAAGGAATGCACCAAGTGGAAAGGATCTATGCTGGAGCAGCTCATGAAGAAATGCAGCCCATGGGAATGACCCACACTAGAGAAGTTTGTGGAGGGCTGTCTTCCATAGGAGGGATCCCATGCTGGAGCAGGAGAATGATGTGAGGAGGAAGGAGTAACAGAGACAAAGAATTATGAATTTACTGCAACCCCCATTCCCCATCCCCCTGTGTTGCTCAGTAGGTAGAGGAGTCAGAAGTGAAGCTGAGCCTGGGAAGAAAGGAGGGGGGGGAAAAGATGTGGGTTTTTTGTTGTTGTTGTTTGTTTGTTTGTTTGTTTTTGTTTGTTTGTTTGTTTGTTTGGGGTTTTTTTGGTGTGTGGGTTTTTTTTGTGTTTTTTTTGTTTGTGTTTTTTGGTGTTTTTTTTTAGTTTTATTATCCTACTCTGATTAATTGGCAATAAATGAAAGTAATTTTCCTAATTTGAATGTGGCTTGCCCACTCAGTAATTGCTGAGTGATCTCCCTCTCCTTTTCTCAACCCACAAGCATTTGGTTGCATTTTTCTCCCTGTCCCATTGAAGAGGGGGAGTGATAGAGCAGCTTGGCGGGTACCTGGCAGCCATCCAAGTTCAACCCACCACAACAGAAGGTAGGCATCTCTGCTGCCATTTTAGGCATTGCTGGAGGTCTATAAACTCAGTGAAACCCACAGAGAGGTTTGGTAAAACAGATATGAGGAGAGTAATTAATTTCTCATGAATAGGAATCTAGGGCCACTGGAAACACTCTAGGTCCAATTACCACTCCAGGAAAGTATGGCTATTCTAGGTTTGTGCTATGTATGTTAGCCTCATCTAGATGTTTTAGATGCTGGAAGAACCCCAGATAGTACTAGATAATTCTAGTGGGTAGCTGAATTGAAACCCCTAAATGGCCTAGGCACATAGCTCATGAATGGACAGATATACATAGACCACCTTTATGTGTCTTTATCTCATGTATTTTATTAATCTAATCCGAAACTCATCCATAATGTTATAAGACTACTTTAATGAAACAGTCCCTGTAATTCATGATGGTCACTGTGGCACTGTGTTTGGAATATAGTATCTCTTGACTTGTGAAAAGTACCGTTAGGGTTAGGATCTTACCTGAAATCACAGGTAACAATCTCTTTTTCCTTGGAACTGTCATTCTTTTAACATTAACATCCTGGAAAAAGGTTGGTTGATAAGATAAGCAGTGCAAAAACAAGTTGTCCAAGCAAGAGAAACTAGGCAACCTCTTACATTTACAGTACATGAGAATAGATGAGAAGTAAACAATTTCAAGCATTTCATATGGATAATTTCAACAAACAATTTTTTGAATATAATATGTTTTGCATCACAATGTTTTGCAGAAAAAAATATGTGACATGTTATATATTTGCAATTTCAGAAAAATGTTTTCATTCTTGATTAGAAAAAATAGATTGAAATCTCTTCCACATTATTCCATATTACAGCATAAATTTTGTATAGGCATTTCTGATAGAGAATATGATCATAAAATATATATAGTACTAGATTTCCTCCATCAATATACATTTTAATGTTAATTAAAATTTTAATGTTAATTGAAATATTAGGAGTATGAGACTAAAAATAATTCTTACTGATTTTTGTCTCTGCAGCTATTTTTGTCATTTATCATGCTTTCCCCTCTGTGCAGTGCTTCTTTTTTCTATGACCAGATTCCCCGCTTTCTTCTACTAATAAACTATTCCATCATGTGTGTTAGACTGTTAGAGAAGTATTCCTTCATACTGGTCTGTGGGATTTCTCCAAAATTAGCACCATTCAAGTTTTACAGGTCTGTAGTTGTAGTCTCTTGTGTCTTCCAGGTGCATCAGTCTAAAAGTATCTCATGGTGCTGGTGAGCATCTAATTTCAAGTGAATAAAATATTTTTTACAGCTTCATCATATGATTTAAGAACAGTGTTTGCTGGACGGATAATCTGGAGGTAGAGTCGATATGCTTTGTCTACACCTGTGAGCCATGAGTGCTTCAGCCTGATTTAAGCCCTGATCCTGTCCTGCTGACTTGAATTTCTGCATTGACTTTAGCTCGGCCTTGTCACTGTAGATACATCTGGCAGGCTGGACCATGTCTGACTGTCCACCATTGCCAATCTGCTCTGCTCTTTGCTGCTCAAGCACGTGATATTACACCCTTGTCGGAGAGGGTCCTACCCTGCCAGCGCAGTTCCACCTTTAGCTCCCAGTTTGCCCTTGCTTACAAAGCAGTTAGCCCTTGTTGCTCCCTGATAAAGGCAATGACTGTGTCTCTAATTCTACAAGACAATAATCTTTCATATTATTGAATAAACATGCAAAAATCCTTGCAACAGTTATGTGCATATACTCAATCACATTCTTGATATCCACAAAGTTAAGGATTGTAATTATCTAAGCAACCAAGGGAACTAATGATTATCTTCACACTATGTCTGGGTAGAAAATACCATAAACACAGTATTTTCTGAGAAAAAAAAAAAAGCGTACTAAAATAATAGAAACATCATAGAATCATAGAATGGTTCGATTTGGAAGAGATCTTAAAATCAACTAGTTCCACCCCCCCTGCCATGGGCAGGGACACCTTCCACTAGCCCAGGTTGCACAAAGCCCCGTCCAACCTGGCCTTGAACACTGCCAGGGAGGGGGCAGCCACAGCTTCTCTGGGCAACCTGTGCCAGTGTCTCATCACCCTCACAGGAAAGAATTTCTGCCTTATATTTAATCTAAATCTACCCTCTTTCAGTTTAAAACCATTACACCTCATCCTATCACTACACTCCCCAATAAAGAGTCATGTGTGTGTGTCCTCATCCTTCCTGTAGCCCCCTTTAAGTACTGAAAGGCCACTATAAGATCTTCACAGATCCTTCTCTTCTCTAGGCTAGACCATCCCAACTCTCTCAGCCTGTCCTCGTAAGGGAGGTACTCCAGCCCCCTGATCATCCTCAGGACCCTCCTTTGACTCACTCCAACAGATCTATGTCTTTCTTATATTGGGGGTCCCAGAGCTAGGCACAGTACTCCAGGTGAGGTCTCATGAGAGCAGAGTAGAGGGGGACGATCAAAGAATCATCTAGGTTGGAAAAGACCTTGAAGATCATGTAGGTCAGCCATTAAACTAACACTGACCATCTATCACCTCCCTCGACCTGCTGGCCACACTTCTCTTGATGCAGCCCAGGACACGGTTGGCTTTCTGGGCTGTGAGCTCACATTTCTGGCTCATAGTCAGTTTTCTATCCACTACTACCCCCAAGTCCTTCTCCGCAGGGCTGTTCCAAATCCACTCATGGCCCAGCCTGTGTTTGTGCTTGGGATTGCCTCAACCCATGTGCAGGACCTCGCACTTGGCCTTGTGGACTTCGCAAGGTTTGCACGAGCCCACCCCTCAAGTCTGTCAAGGTTTCTCTGGATGGCACATCCCTTCCCTCCAGCGTGTCAACACACCATGCAAACTTGCTGAAGGTGTACTCAATCCCACTGTCCATATCACCAACTAAGATGTTAAACAGCACTGGTCCCAGTACCAGCCCTTGAGAAATGCCACTCATAACTGCTCTCCTCTTGGACATCGGGCTGTTGACCACAGCTCTTTGAGTGCAACCATACAGTCAATTCCTTATCCACCAAGTGATCCATCTGTCATGTCCATGTCTCTCCAATTTAGAGACAAGGATATCATGAGGGACTGTGTCAAAAACTTTACACAAATCCAGGTAGATTACATCAGTTGCTCCTTCCTTGTCCACCAATGATGTAACCCCGTCGTAGAAGGACACCGGATTTTTCAGGCACAATTTTCCCCTACAGAAACCATGATGGCTGTCACCTCCATATTTTCCATGTGCCCTCACATAGTTTCAGGATCTGCTCCATGATTTTGCCAGGCACAACAGGGAGACTTACTGGTCCATAATTCCCTGGGTCTTCCTGTTTTCCTTTTTAAAAGATGGGTGTTATTTTTCCCCTTTTCCAGTCAGCAGGAACTTCAGTGGACTGCCACGACTTCTCAAATATGATGGACAGTGGCTTAGGCACTTCATCAATTCCCTCAGGATCTGCAGATGCATCTCATCAGGTCCCATGGGCTTGTGCTCCTTCAGGTTCTTTAGATGATCTTGAACTTGATCTTCTCTTAAAAT